CATTTTTGACCATTTAAAAAGCTGCGGAGTGCTACGCACGTTTGTAAACCGAACAATCAGTGGAAAATAACTGACAAAGGAAGTGATGCGTGATACGGAAAAGGCGGGGCTGTAGAGGGGGGCTAACCGCGAAGCTAAAGAGAGATCCACACAGACCACCGCTTCAAACGTCCGCTTGTTGGAAAACAAAATGGATAATTTCCGACTAGAACTCTCTTCAAAGAAGGAGGTATTTTACTGCTGCGCCATCATTCTGACTGAGTCTTGGCTGCATCCAGCAATACCGGACAATGCTATTAGCCTGGAGGGGCTGGTGCTGTAACGCACCGATAGAAACAAAGAGCTCAGCCTGAATGAATGCTCCTCCGAGACTGTTCCCAGGCAATCTTCAGCATCTAGAGGGGAAGCACTGCCCTCTGCAGGTGAAAATGAGGAGAGCACTCTAGATGCTTCCCTGCCAAATGCTGAAAAATCCCCAGCCGGCTCCTCCCGGCCCCCTCCGGCTTCCACACCTTCTCCAGCATCGTCCGTCGCTGCTAAACCTGTCGATGGCGCCACTGCTGCTTTAACCAGGTCAGCCTCTTCAACCCAGGGGGCTACCACCCTCACAGCATCGTCATCATTGTCCTCTTCCTCCCCTGAGCCAGGAGAAGCGAGTGCTTCAGGAGCTGGAGGCAGTAGTAGCAGCTCAACAACAACTGCTGGGTGAAGCCCAGGCAGCAGTCCCCTAATGCTCCAGCATCAGGTCCTCTTCCACCAGGGTAACAATCCCATTTGGATGCTAAGATCCAGATCCGTCTGACATCACTGCTGCCAAGCAAACATGAATGATGGGCATTCCATAACTAGATATAGTGACTTAATATCACAATGTTTATTTTAACACTGCGGCTTACCTTATCAAGGCTGCAGTTTAAAAAAATGAGTTGTCTAGAGAGCTGTTCTAATTGAAATTTCTTTTTGTTTACACTTGACGATACAAAATGACAAAATAAATCTGTCTAAGATGCTTTGCTAATGTAACTCGCTACTAGGGGTGGAACGATCACAAAATCCACAGTTCGGTTCACGGTTTCATGGTCACGGTTTTTGGTTCGGTTCATGTTGATTGTTAGCCTGACATGTTGGTCATGTTGCTGTTAGCATAAACAAAATGTGTTGCACAATGCTTGCACACTGTTGCACTTTTATCCACAACTTTCTTTCCGCCGTCATCGTAGGTCACTCTAAATGCAAAGCGGTCCCATACAGCAGACCTATAAAGTGCTGCTGGCGCGTCTTCCAACTCCTGTTCTTTCCCACTCGCCATACCCACACAATTCTCCACAACAACTGATTTTTTTCTGCTACACCTGGCTACGCTGCCTTGCTTCTTCTTCTTCTTGTTTACTACTGGTGGTTGGCTTTGGTCGCAGTACCGCCACCTTCTGCTCTGGAGTGTAAACGCTTCACCTACGAGAAAAATGAGCAGCGCATGAACCGAACGAAACACACGCGAATCGAGACAGTCGAACCGAACGGTTCGGACGGTTTCCATAAACCGTTCCATCCCTACTCCCCACAATCAGGAATAAGGTAGAAGGATTTCCCGAAAACCAGCCAATCACAGGCAGTTTGTCTCTCACATGAAGCTTCAGATTTTCTGCGGTCAGAACCATGTTGTAATATACAACATACCTGAAGAGCTTTTTCTAACACATTTGACACAAAAATCAAGAGAAAAGCTGAGTTACAGTTAAGAAATAATGTTATATTAAAGAATCGATTTCAGAGAGTCTGTCATTCATCATAAGAGTCGTCTAGAGCGTAAATGAGTCATCACACTGATTCGAAATGAGAGAATGCAAACAGGCAATAGTGGTGAGTTACAGAGCAGGGCTGGGAGAGGAGTGATGGAAGATCATTAAAGCTGCAGGTTGTTCTAACCACACCACAACATCATCTAAAGCAGCAACTGTGCAGGCTTTACTTTCACGCTGGCTGAGAGCCATTCAGTAATGAAAATCAGCCTGACAGAAGATTATATGTGCATTATCTCCACCAGCAGCAGCCAAGGCAGCCCATGCAGCCTGTTCTTATTTTGCAGTTACTACGAGCCTTTCCTCCAGGGAATTACTAGTAATTCTGGTATTTACCAGAGTGGGCCCTGACTACAGCCATGACGGTGGGTCTGTGTTTTCTGTTGGATTCTACACGCCACCGATCTGTTTGTGAGGCACTGTGACCTAAGCTGACTGCTTGAAGTGGTGCCATGTGGAGAAAAGGACACTAAAGACACCAAACCAACACCTTAAGAGATCATCTCCCACTTAGAGACGCTCGGATCACTTGATCAGAGATCAGAATCAGCAATTATTCCTTTAATCTGCTTACATTGGGCTAAAAATAATACTTATTTTACTTTTCACTGAATATAGAGCAACTTAGAACTTACAAAATGAATCATTAATTGGTTTATATAAGGATCAATATTAACTGCATGTACCTGGAGGCCTATTGTTTGAGCAAAAAATCAGTTAAAGGAGCATCGTCACCTTCATTGTTGGGAGCAACGCCACACGCCAAACGTGTTTTGACCGTCTGGCAGTGAAACTTGGAACATTTTATGCATCGGGGACAACTTAAAAAAAAATAAAAAATTAATTCCCCGGTGTTTTATTGTGATTACACTGTCACAAGTACAGAGCAACGAAATGAAATCTCTGCACCCGTCCCCTTGGGGAGCAGTGGGCTGCCATTGTGGGGCGCCCGAGGAGCAGTGTTGGGTCTTTGCTCAGAGACCCACAGTGGCAGCGAGGCTTGAACTCAGAACCTGAGGATTGCAAGCTCTATGCCCTAACCACTAGGCCTCCACTCTCCCTGTCTAACATCAGGCACTCGAACAAAAAAAAAAAATCTGAATTTAGCGCTTAATGGCAAATATCAACCAGAAGCTGATCTGGGAGCTGGCATGGAGACGGTCACTGCATCCAAACCATGATCTCTACTACTCCTCGCCAAAGTCCTGAATCGATTCGATTTTGATTCATACAGTTCTAAATCGATTCAATCTGTTTTTGCAACAATGATAGCGGTTCAACTGTGTTTCAAAATACTCATCACGTGACACAGCAGACATTCATGAGCGGCATTATCTCCACTGCACAAACCATATTTGCAGCGTTGTCTGTAACAACTACAGGGTGTTTTCTGGTCAGCCGCCATTTGTTAATGTCTTCATTTAACCTATTGGCTATATTTGCAGCTGTTTGGCTTGAAGTCATCTTGAGTGCATCTTTCCTGCTTATTTGAGGAAAGGAATCGATTCAAAATCGATTAAGTCGATTTTTTTACCCAGCCCTAGTCAGCATAAAACCAGCTAAAATACACAAGAATATATTTAAAGGTGTTACACTGCATTGGGTTTAGTTAAAATTTTTCATGTAGAAAGGAAAGTGAGGATGTTCTGACCACTACACTATTTTGTTTATAAACTGTTTATAAATGCCTGCATAAAATATCAAAAATCGTCAGGGAAATGTTTGCCATTACATATTGTAGTTTATGCCATTTTTCCCACCTAAAATAAGCTTATATTTACTACGAGGTGCTACTAACAGCAGCAGGAAGTCTTTCTATAAGCTGGCCCACTTCATGGAGGTATGGCTGGACTGCCAGTGACTGCCCCCCCCTCAGTCTGCATGGGTCTACTGCTACAGAATATTTAAAACTAGGATTAGAATCATGAACCGACTACAACCGACTACAAGGAAGATGCTAGGAGGTGGACTTTCTTACTAAAACCATTTTAAAATTTGTTTTTATTTTCCCAATAACACAAAAAATAAACTAAAGGCACTCTCATTGTATGTAGCTTATTCAGTTTCACTCAACAACCAAGCAAAGTGCGTCAGAAACCCTCACTACGGAGCAGAGTCCGACGTGGTTTTTAGACGTGCAGTGTGGGCAGTGTGGGTACGATGTAACCCTGTGGTTTGGTCGGTGTATGCCCGGCTTTAGATCATAAGAAGTAACTGTAAAGTTGTTTTTACTAGTAACTTGTTCCTTTGATTACTGACTTCTACAGGAATATAACCATCAACTATAACTAGTTCATTCAACTAACATTTCCAACACTGCTAACGTTGTATGTTTATACAGAAACCCATTTGTTTGGGATAAAACCAGCTTCTACACAGCAAGCACCCGTCCTGATAGCGTTTAGATTAACCTTTTAACACAACTAACCAGACATGCATCAATCAAGTAAACACCACTTTGTCCCTGATTTGATGAAGGAATATCATTCTGACATAGTTAAAAGATTAAAAAATAGTTTGACATAATGTGAATACAATCATTATCCCAGCATCATGTATATGTAAAAAAACAACAACACACATATCAGCCCTGGACAAACGATAGGCCAGATTGAAGCTTCTCTAAACACATCAGGTGACATTTTGGATGTTTCTACATTTTAGCACACAACAGATAAGAAAAAGCTTGTTACATTTAGAGGTCAAATGCTCAAATTAGATGTAGAAGAAGGATGAGATTAACGCGGTCTAATTTCTAACTTTTCCTCTGATGGCTCAATTATATAAAAGCCAGAGCAAAAATCCAGCTTCAAACCCGGTTAAAAACATGCAAATGTTACGTTTCCTCTGGAAACTGTGGTTACCCTCATCTGACCAACGCCTTTGCTGGCCTTTACATCGAAATGGGGAATTCCAAAGGAGTCACCATGCATGAAATTAAAGAAAACACTCGCTAACCGCTCAGAAATCCAACCTCAGCTGGTAAAAGTTTGAATGATCTGTAGCAAAGTGATGCTTCTAAACATAATGGTTCAACGCTCCACTTAAGAGTCAAATGAAGGTAAGATAAGCTGAAAAATCCAATGACGATCCCAGCATTTATCAGAAATTATGCAAACACAGAGTGTGCAGTATTGGTCTTAAATCTTCAACTAAAAAAAGCCAATATGAAATAACATCATAGAATTTTCCAATGCCAACCTTGAAACGGGCTGGAGGCCTGCTGGGCCAGGGCCAGGTGCTCCTCTGTAAGGTGGTAGATGGGCTGGTGCTGGTTGATCTCCACACTGCTGCACACGTTGTTCTCGCCGTGCAGGAAGAAGGTGAAAGCGCAGGACAAGTGCTCACTGTGAGGGGAGAGAAAAGCACAAAACGGGTCAGTTTTATTCATTCTCTGACCTGCTGTAACATCACCTGCTTGTTTGAAGCGGAGTAAAATGCAGCAGGGAGGAGCCTGCAGACACCAGGAGAGGAATCCCTGCCCGCCTGCTTCATCTCAGATCAATGATTAAAAGGGACGCAGTACCGCCAGTACCGTTTAGGAGAAAACAGGAAGAGGGAGTCGGATTCTACTTTATCAGAACATGAAGACGTAAGATCTGAACCAACGCTTTAACTTCCTTCAAACAGCTGAGATTTACAAAAATCATGGACTTTTCTTCTTGAATAGTGGAAGAAAATCTAACAGTTCAACTTTTATATTTTGTGTTTTGTTTCATTATTGTTTAAAATAAAAAACAGGCTATGTAAAACAAGATAACAAAAAATACATTTTAAAATTCTATTCATAAATTAAACAACTGAAAATGTTTGAAGTTTTTAAGGGAAACTTTGCAGTTTTCTAAAAAAAGATTTTTAACAGAACTTATATCAAAAAATGTTTCCATCGTTTTTTTTATTTTTTTATTTATATGACTGTTTTTCCAAGTTAGGTTTTACAAATTACGTTGTTTTAAGTTTAGGGTCTTGTCACTTCTGGGGGCTGGCTCTATCCTTTTACTGCATTTCTATTGGTCTGCATATTTGCAACAATATTTTTATTTCTCAATGTGTTCATCAAGAGCTAGCATTTTTATTGGGCTGAAGAGAAATAATGTGTGAAACGCTGTCTGTAAAGAATGCAGTTCATAAAATGCAATCTGAAAAATATACATTAAAAAAAATATATATATATATATATATATATATATATATATATATATATATATATATATATATATATATATATATATTAGGTTTGTCACGATACTAAACTTTTCAACTCGATACCGATACTAAGTAAAATATTCGATACTCAATACCCTTTTCGATACCACAAGAAAAAAAACAAAGACTAAAATTCAACAGAAAAATTTCATTACAAAAAAATACAAGAAATAAATAAAAAAAAAACAATAAGAACAATATTTTGAGGTTGTATGCTGTGCACAATATTAAGCAAGCTTGATAAAAAAACTTACAAAATTAAAATTAAGTGTTCCTTCCTTGGCTATGTTTTGCAGACATAACAATGACACTGGCCAAGCTGGTTAAACAAAAATAATTCTCAGCAGCTGCACCTCTTACAGAAAAAGTCTGAAACTGAAAAATGCACAGAATTATTCAATCACGGTGTTCAGAAAGTGCATTTTCCACTATTCTGCACTTTAGATGGCTGTATCGATACTTTTGAAAATGAGAATTGTATCCGGATACAACATTTCCGTATCGATACTTTTGACAACCCTAATATATATATATATATATATATATATATATATATATATATATATATATATATATATATATATATATATATATAAAATAAAAATAAAAATAAAAAAGCACATTATGAAATAACAGGAAAGTTTTTTAAGTTGTTGGTATTAAATCACAAAATGTTTTTATTTGCTTGCAACAACAATGGACCAAAGTTCACTCCATAGCTCCTACCAATATTGAGGTATATAAATTGACGAAGGAAGTGATAGACTGATAGACGGACAGATGAAAGGAAGAGCAGGATGGATACAAAGGGACAGGGATTAAAGGACTGGAAACAAGTTTTTTTTCCCCCTTTCCTATTCTTATCCAGACCTGTAAAAGCCTGAAAATGTAACATTTTACCAGCGATCCTTTCTCTAGATGGTGGCAGGTTTTATATCCCCAGACTCCTGCGGGATCGACTGCAGGAGCCCATACAGCAAAGCTTCACCGGCTTCATCTGTCTGCTTACTGTGTGGCCTGTGTGTAAAACAAAGGGGCAAGCCCCGACTAACCCTGGCATTCTAGCCAATAAGCGCTGCAACAAAACACCTCCCAACACACACACACAAGATCTTCCCTCCTTCCAGCTACGCCTGCCTGTACCAGTCTGACCCCAGCGGCAAGGCAGGAAGACAAACTACTGAGGGAGAGCAAGGGCAGACCCAGAGGAAAGAGATCAGTGAAGTGAAGTGCTGAGCATCGTCTGTAGGCTTTCCTCTCTCCTCCGTCGCAGAGAACGGAGAGAGCACCAGTGACAAACGCCTGAATAGAAGCAGATGCAGTAGATGAAGGAGGGCTGCCTCCCTGTGGATTTGGTTAAGCAAATACGAGGCTCTTATCCCTGACTCTGGTGCTCAGACACACCTCGTCTGCCGAGGATTAAAGACGAAGAGCAGACGGGAGGAAGGAGCGTGGCAGACGCAGAGCTTTAACAACATAATGGCAGCGACCAGGTGAAAGGAGTGCTTCTCGCTCCACATGTCTCAGCTGGAGGAGACGTCTACAGGACAGAGGTGGAAGCAGGGGGGTCGCTGCTTCCAGCCTGCATCGACTCGCACGAATATTTTATACACCTTGGACCAGGGGAGGATTTAGGAAATTTAGGGCCCTAGGCAAAGACAGGCAGGGGGCCCTCTGAATAGAGGAGACAACACATAAAACAGACCCATTATACAGATATTTTAATAGAATAGACAAACATTATTTGCTCTACGTTTTGTCCCTCTCTTCTTGCTGTTTCTCAATTTTTTTTTTTACTCAGCTAACTTTTAATTATGTCTGGAAAAAATTTTTACGATTTTGTTTCTAATCACTAAGCTCCCTTAGCCGATTGCTCCCACCTGAAAGGCGACGGCAAAAGTAAACACTTAAGTCAGACTTAATATTGTAAGCGTTCTGATGGCATTCTAGTGGAAGGATTTTTGTTTGTTTTTTTATCAAAAACACTTTTACCAGAAAGTCTACACTCTCATCTTTTCAGGAGCTCTAATTTTTATGTCCTGTTATCAACCATGTATCACCAATGAAAAATGATAAATTCTCACTACGAATTGGAAATCTGTTTGGTGACTGACTTTTATTTCTGTCAGGCTGAAGTGATAGAAGTTGGAAAAAATTCTCTTGGCGTTAAAAAAACAAAACAGCTGAAAAAGGACATTGTTTACTTAGTAATTTAATTTACAATTTTGTAAACAACAGCTGCTGATTAAACTGGATGTTACAACATTGACATCATTATAGGAGTTGTTTTTAGCGAGAATTCGATCAGAAGCGCCAAGAAAATGGTCCCATCCGCCATGTCCGCCCCTCTGGCTTCAATGCACGCTCTCGACACATGGAAGCAGAATTTTATACATTTTATAACACCGGGGCAAAGAACGTCTGGAAGTTATTTGGATTTAGTTTTTACATATGCATAGATATATGTACAGATATATATACAGAAGAGCTTTATGTGTATATATTTGATCTCTTTTCATTCTTATTTTTTTATCTTTATTATATTGTATAGTTGGATGTGTGTATATATTATCTAAAACTGTAACTGGAGCATGTAACAAAAGTAATTTCCCTCTGGGATTATTAAAGTATTTCTGATTCTGAAGTCAGACAGAGCTTCACATCCCTTGGACATCAATCAGTTTAGCAACAGCTAGTGGCTACAGGTAGAGCAGGGAATATTAGCCCGAACCCGACGGGACCCGAGAGGTCCTGCCGGGTTCGGGCGGGTTCGGGCTGTACTTTTTATTATTTCATTCGGGCCGGGCCGGGCTCGGGCTTTAAACCGTTATATGCGCGGCAAATAAATGATCATGTGATAACGTTCGATCAATACGCGATGAATGCAAAATGGATGTTACAGAAGTGAAACGGAGATTAGCCCTTAATGCGCACAATTGAAAAATGTCGGGCTGCAAACGGGTCGGGCTCTACGAAGCTGTCAATCATAACGGGCCGGGCCGGGCAGGGCACGGGCCTGGTTCTTTCAGACTCGGGTCGGTTTTGGGCTGACTTTCAAGGCCCGTTTCATGCTCTAGCTACAGGCTGCTTTCCTGCACATGCTGCCACCACCTGGTGAATTCCAGTACTGCACATTTTACTCTGCTCTGCTCAGATCCGGTGTAGGTACCAGATTGACTCGGGGGCCTGCTCCTTTTGATGACGTCACAATACATAATTGTTTTAACGTTTGCACAATTGCGCAAAACATTTTGATTGGTCTGGACAGCTTACTAAAGTAATTATAGCGGGGTGTAGGTTTTATTAGAAAGCGGGATTGCGGTTTGTAAACGGACAATTTTACGAAGAAATTCTCCATGGTCCCCGCGCCTTCCGATGACGTCACCGAATTCGCCATGGGCCTTGCGCCTCCTGATGACGTCACATTATGGCAACGCCACTCAAACAAACTACATTGAGCCCGCGGTCTGCATTTGTAACAAGAATAAATTCAGGAGAATGAAGCTAAAGGGATACAAAAAATAAACTTGTAATATTACAAAAACAAAAATACTACGAATACAAAGTATATTCAGAGATTAAAGTCCCTCTGATACTGTTTAAGTGACTGAGAAACTGCAGATTTAAGATGGCGGACGCTCTGACGCATCTCAGCATAGGCAGATCCGTTAATTGGCTAAATAAAATAGATTTGTGACAAATAGAGACCGCGGGCGCAATGTAATTTGTTTGAGTGGAGTTGCCATATCGTTACGAGTGGCGTTGCCATATAGTGACGGGCGGAGTTGCCATATTATGACGTCATCAAAAGGCGCAGGCCCCCGAGTCAATCTGGCAGCCCGAGTCAATCTGGTACCTACACCGGGGCTCTTGGGGAAACATCCGGGGCTGTACCCAAGTAGCCGCTCCTATATATATATTCAGTTGTTTTTTTATACACTTTTACCTTACAGTCACTATGATGTACTGCTGTCACATCATAATTTCCCCACTGTCGGATCTTTTCTATTCTAAGATGAATGACACATGAGAACATGTTCCAGCTAATAGTGCTACTGGTGTTAGCTATGCTTTTAAGTCCTTTCCTTCCACCTGTTAGTTTTCTGTGAGGCATAAGAGCAGCTGGGAATTATTTAGTAGC